ATACTGTTTTTCTACGTTTTTTATACGTTTTTTAAACGTATTATTTCTGTATACTTTCCTTATACTGATTATTTATAGGGCAATGCATTATCTATTTTTAGGTATGGCAAAATGGATAGTTTAACGAATTTGGATTGATGAGAAGGTTTTATCTTCAGATGTTTTTAAAAGTATCCAAAAGAATATGAATCAAATTCAAGTTCCAGCAGATTTGGGTAGAATCCCTTGAAAAATCAACTGTGAAGAAGGTTTTTCCAACTTCACAGCAGACTAATGGTGAACATTTTATACATTTTATGCAACTACATAGCTTTGAGAACATCTATCAGTAATTGACTGAACAATTCTAACACATTTTGTTAGTGTTTGTTCAATTCTGATAGGTTGAATTCTAGAACTTGATTTGATACAAGAAGCTTATAAAATGTTGATTAAAATAGTAAAACTTATTGAGAAGCATTATGGGCATGATAAAATTACACCAAATCTCTACCTTTCACTTTATTTACGAGAATACTCATATGATTTCAGCTCTTTATACACTTTCTGGTATTTCTTATTTGAACGTATGAATGAGATACTCAGTAATTATAGCTTCTTTTTTCTTTTTGCTGATTTATATAATGAAATGTGCTAGTAAATAATGAAATATTTTAATAATATTTAGGTTCATTACCGAGTAGTCATAGACAAATTGAGCCAAAAATAATACGCAGATTAATGAATGATAATCATATTAGAGAAATCAGTAGTTCGGTAAATATTCGAACCAAAGGTTTAAATTTGCTTAATAATCAAAATGTAGTTGGTTCGTTATTAAAAAATGATGAATATTTATCAGATGAAATGGAGTGATTTTGGTCTAATTCGAGAAACATACAGAAATCAATCATTACTAGACATGAACCATTTCCTGAAGAAATGCTAAGTCCTAAATTCGATGTGATATTGCTCAAGACAATGCTTGATTTAATAGTTGAATACTACATAGCAATATATGAAACACACAATTTCAAAACACCATTCAATGATGGACCTAAAGATTTGATTATACTTTGTCATGTTATAATAAATAAATTTGGTCAGTATAGAATTAGTTCAGAGGTATTTGACTCAGTAATGTTATTTCATCATGTGAAAAGTTCATTTATTTTAGTGAATTTTATAATATTAGATAATCAGATTGACTGTTATGCTGGTCAAGTCCAGTATTTTTTTAAGCATATAATTGATTTTGAGGATAAATTGGCAGAACATAATTTGGCATTTATTCAATGGTATAAGATAGCAGAAATATATAAAGTTCAATATTATCTTAGTATCAATAATGATGAAAAAACTTGTAATGTTGAACTATGAAAAACGAATTTTTTCTGATAATCATGATAGTATTATTTTGGTACAACACATTCTTTATCGATTTGTATCAGCAAAATATAAAATTTCTACTTGTCCAAATGCTGTTGAATATATAGCTATAAATCTAATAAATTGTAAATTCCATATTCATTAACTTTTGTTTTGTAATATAAATTTTTTATAATAAACCAAACTGGACTGATATAATGCTGAATTAGATACAAAGTAACAAACGACAGTCAATTTGTTATAATTTTCATGTCATATAACTGAAATTTTGCCATATTAAATCATCTGAATATTTTTTGAAAGGTCTTAATATTGAAAAAATGCTAAATTATGTATTATGTAACAAACGATATTAAATATATTATAATTTTTGTACTGAATTTTAAACACAAGCTGAATTTTTATCAAATATTATGACTGAATCAGCTGAATGTTTACTAAAAGGTCATAGTGCTGAAATAATGCTAAATTATGTGCGAAGTAATAAATGACTATTGATTTTTATAACACAAGCTGAATTTTTGTCAAATAGTATGACTGAATCAGCTGAATATTTACCAAAAGGTCATAATGCTGAAATAATGCTAAATTACGTATGAAGTAACAAATGACTATTGATTTTTGTAACACAAGCTAAATTTTTATCAAATAGTATGACTAAATCGGCTAAATGTTTACCAAAAGGTCATAGTATTGAAATAATGCTAAATTACGCACAATGTAATAAATGATTATTGATTTTTGTAATTTAAGCTGAATTTTTGTCGAATCACATGACCGAATCGGCTGAATGTCAATCGAAAGGTATTAGTGCTGAAAGAAATGATTTTGACTAGTAGTTGTAATGAAAAAAAATTTTACAAACTTTTTTTTTTGCAAGTTATATTGAAATTATATAATAAAAATGTTAAGTAAACTGGTTTTAAACTGAATAATTAGTTCAGTTAAATTTTTAGTTACAGTTTTAATCATTATAAATTAAATTATAATTATTTAATAAATTTCTATAGGGATTAATTAATGTTGAACTACAGATTACTTGAAATTGCAATTGTGAAACTATAAAAATTGCGCAAATTTTAAAGTTGCAAATATTTCAATTGCGAAAATTATAAATTTTGAAATTGCTAAAAAATTAGATCACTTGATTGTTACATAAAAAATTAGATATTTTGCCAACTCATTGAATACTAATTAAATGCTGATATGTTATGATAAAATTTTATATAAGGAAAGTTTTATCATGTTTTTGTTTTTTTAATTGTTCAATATTTATATTAATAATTTTTAAATCTTTTCTAAATAACGAATTCCAAAAATGCCTATTATAATTGAATAGTCAGACGAAGAAATGCAATACTTGATTGATTTAAGAAGAAAAAGTAATGATGATTACTAGAAAAAATTTAAAAAATCAAAGTTATCTTTTTGAAATGAGATTGTAATGCAGATTCAAAAAAGTTCACGACGATATTTAATGGATTACAGGTAAGGAAAAAACTTAAAGGAATGGTCAAGGATTATAAAGTAAGTAAATTACTAGTAAACAAAGAATAAAACTATTTATATTAATTGTATTTTGTAATAATAATTTAATAATTTTAATTCTTTAGTTGTTTGAATTATATACTGATGGAAACGCAAAAGGAAAGTGGATGCATGTTGAAGTAGTTTTGGAGAACAATTCAAAATTCTATTTTGGAAGAGACCAGATTAGAATAATAAAACTTTTCAATTGATATTAATTAAAAAAAATCATTATTAAAATTCAATATTTATATCTCAAGTTCAAGAAAGGAAGTGTGCAAGATTGGCTGCCAGAAATCAAAATAAGAAATTTATTTAGTTTAATTTTTAATATTATTTTAATATAAATATAAATTTATATTTTTTAGAATTATCAACTCCTCTTTCTAATAACTCCTCACAATCTGAAACTTATAATCCTCAATAATCCACTTTTTTCAATTATTTTTACTCTTTTTTTCCAACTATTATCACTCTTTTTTCTATCTTTATAATTTTTTACAACTAGTCAATCTTTTCTTATCTATTCATTATCTTTATTTATCTCTTTTCACTTAGTTTTATTTTATAAATTTTTTTTCTGAATTTTATTAAAAAAAAACCTAAACGAAGCTTGCCACCTCTATGTAGTGTTCAGGATCAACAGTTATAGGTTAATCTATATCTGACTAGGAGTAAGCATACCTTTGTAGCTTTAATTCATTAGTTATTTATTATTTAAATTTATTTGTTTTACATTATTCCAACTTATTACATACTGAATTTGGATATGATATTTGGTATTACTATATAGTGAATAAATTGTTAAAATTCAGTATAGACGTTACTGAATTTTCTTATATAATGAATTTTGACTTCCAAAAACAGAGATTCTTTACAATGAAATTCAATTGTATATTATAACAAGTTTTCTCTTTTAACTTATATAATAAAAAATTAAATGTTATCTAGAAGTTAAAAATTTGTAATTTTTAAAAAATTTATTTTAACAAATTTTATAATTAATCTATGATAAACATTTTAGAACTTACTTTTAACTATATTAATTATAATAGAATATTATAAAATTACTTATAAAAAAAACCTTTTATTATTATGATCTTTATAATTTATTAAGAAATAATATGATTTTAATTAATGATAAAGTGATTTAATTATGCAAACATATAAATTTTTAAAGAATTTTCAAAAAACTATTATAATAAATTTTTTGAAACTTAATTTTAAAATTAAATTATTTTAAAAACCTTCTAAAAAACTTAAAATCTTTGTTAATAAAGTTAATAAAAAATATATTAAACTATATTTTTTATATAGTAATAATATTACTAAAATTAATATTTAAAAAAATTAATAAATTTTTTTAATTTTGCAGACAAATTTATTTGCTAGACAAACTAAGGGGTAAAAATATCTTGAGAAGTAATTTTTTTAGTAATAGCAATTGATGCATATAATATTATTAAGATAAATTCACAATGCGTTATCTTATAGTATTGGTCATAATCTTTATATTTAAAAGCTTTAAAATTATATTCTCTATATAATAAATAAAATCTTATCATTATTATTAATTTTCTTGAAAACTATGAAGTAATATAAATTATTTTACATAATAGACTATTTCAAAGCAGAATAGAAAGAAATTGCTTGATACTCATTATATTATTATACACAAATGACATGGATGACTCAGATGACGAATATGACTGCGATGACTAAAATGTCATATATGTCTTCTATATCATATATCTTATATATTTCTTTTATTTACTATATTATATATATCTCTTATATCTCATATATTTATTATAGTTATTATATCTCTTATATTATTTATATTTCATATATGTCTTTGAACATTTTTATGTATTCATTTTTATATAAATATACCTTGAGTCTTAGAGTAGTTAACAGTAGATAGTTTTGAAGTAAGTTTAGAATAGTCAGAATACTTTCTTAGATAGTTTGATTTAATATAAAACATTTACACAGTACAGAGCGCTGACAGAGGCAGTATTCATTTGTTAAGGCATATTGAATAAACAATCGACCCTTTTTGACTCAATCCATATCAACTTATAAACTTATACCTTCTGCTTACCTTATCGCGCTTTTAACCTTTAAGCGACCCTAAAGAACTGCCTATAACAATATCTTTCTTATTAACCTTATTTTTACACAATATTTCTTTTAAGTCTTTAAAGTCTTTAAGAGTTTTAAGCAAGAAATAATTTTATAATTTCTGACTGAGATCTTCAATAAATTCTGCAAGTCTCTTTGCAAGATCAACTTTTATACCAAAAGTTTATAATTCTTCTTTAGTTGTATTAAGAAAATTAGGATCAGCAATTTTTTCTTTATGAAGAATTTGATATCATTTTCATCAAATCTCAAGTCTTTTTTCTTTAAGTATTTGATAAGCTCCTTTGTATTAAAATTTTTAACCACATCTGACATTGTTCAAAAAGAAATTTCTTTCATTATTAAATTTAAAGAAAAAGGTATAGAGGAAGCAATAAAAGAATTATTTTTTAAAAATTAATAAAATATTATTTTAAAGGAATAATAAAAGAATTGTTCTAATAGAATGATAAAATATATCTTGAAAAAATAGAAAATTATTCTAAAAGAATGATAATATCAGTTTAAAGGACTGATAGAAGAATTGTTTTAAAAAAAGATGATTTATTTATTTTAAAGAAAATTCTAATAATATTCTAATAAAATGATAAAATAATAAAATAATATTTTAAAAGAATAATAAAATTGTTTCAAAAGAATAATATAATATAATTTTAAAGAAATAAAAAAATTGTTTAATTATATTTATGAGTAATTCAGATTTAATTCCGTTTAAATTAAATTAAATAAGTCAAAATTTTTGATTCATATTCAATTTTAATCTTTAAAGAAGACTAAGCAGTATTTATTTTATTTTTTATTTGTTTTGTGATTTTCTTGTTATCTTTAATTTCGGAAAATATTTTATGCTTTATTATATCTAGATTAAAAAATAATTAATATTCAGATTTAAATTTAAATTTTTTTGATGATAAATTCCTATTATAAATAGAATTAATATTTCAATTCAGATTTTTATATTATTTATTTTTTTGATATTATTCTAAATAAATGTTTTTATATTATACAATTTATATGACCCTTAGAAGGAAATATGTCCCGTAATTTTTTTATTTTTTGCAACTCCGAAATCCGAAACATTTCGTAAGATGAGGAATTTGACACGTTTTCCGAACAGTATTGACATACCTTTGATGATTCAATTTATCCCAAATGAAATCACATCCGAATATTTGACAAAATTCAAAAGATCAACATACACCATTTTATTAAAATTGGAGGATAAAATTAAATATTGTCATAGTTTAATTGTCTATAAATAAGATCTTAACTCTTTCCAAACATCATTATGCTCTGATCACATTGCCTATAATCCGTAACCATCCACGTTGTAATTGAAGTCACATGATCCAAATCAGGTGATTCTAAGTAAGAAGCAAAGTTTTCTTCGGAGCTTTCTTGTTTAAATTAAAATTGTTCATTGTTCATTGTATTTCGTCGTAAAATATCGTAAAATAGTCATTTTTATTAAATTGTTGGACAATTTTAGGATAAAATTTACATTATTTCAATTAATTATTAAATATAAAAACTCTAAGGAGCTTCCCAAATCTCGATCCAAGTTAATCGATTGATTCCCAAATTTCTGGATTTTAATAACTTAACTCGATCAGATTCCGTTGAAATTAATTAAATACCGTGTAACCTTGAGCCATTTTTTCATCCAATGTTATTTTAAAAAAATTGTGATTGTGTTGCTTGTGTTGCAATGCAAGTTGTAACTCTATTTTTTTTTATCCGGAAATTCTACAACCGAAAAACAAAGCCTCAAAGAAATTCTTAGCTAATTATATATAATAAATATTACGCAGCCTTTTTACGCCCTTTTTCATCCTTTTTTGTCAAACGAAAAGAACTCCAAAATTTAGTAGTTGACTTTTAAGATAAAGAAAGGATCCCTTTTTATTTTGTTCGACGACTAAAGACTAAAGATATAACGATCATTCCATATCTCAAAGTTCTGCTTTAAAAAATCATAAAAGAGAAAAAAAGGGGTTAAATAATAATAATAATAATAAAAAAAAAAAAAAAAAAAAAAAAAAAAAAAAAAAAAAAAAAAAAAAAAAAAGGAATAATGATTGGGCTAATGAATGACAAAGTGGGGTTATGTCATATAAAAAAGGGTTCCTGCAAGTATTTGGAAATTCAAGCCAACGTTGGCTCAAAAGATGAAGAAACAGTGGGTCTTTATATACTTCTTCAAGTCCTATCCCTTACTTTCCAAAAATGAGTAGTCAAGCTGTACAAACTTGAATGTGCTTGGGTGTACATAAAGCACCCCATTTTATTTTTACAATATATTACTAATATAATATAAAATCAATTGATAATAAATCCAATATGTATTGTTCAATCATTCAATCAGTCTATATTGGGTCATTGAGTCAGCTTTTTTTTTTCATTTTTATACATTACTCATTTCTTTTTCTGATGAACACTCATAATAATCACTATATAAACATAAAAATTCCATAACGCAACAATTATTGTTGTCAGGTTTATATACTTCTCCCAGACTACATATTATTTTTCTACCTTTCTCTGGGAAGCTAAGAGATTAAAAAAAAGCATTTTTTTTCTTCTGGTTTCATTCAACCCGTTCATTGTCGGTCTTAAAATAGAAGTATTTCACTACTTAATAAGATCAAAGTCGATATGAATGGACATCAGTTTGCTTACTCGTCAGCGCCTGTAAGGCGAGTTAAATATGTACAATTTGGAATTTTATCACCAGAAGAAATTGTATGTTATGGATTTAAAGTTTTCTCACTGCTTTTCGCTTGTTTTAAAGTTTTTTTTTTGATTTTATTATTTGTTTCTATAGAAACAAATGTCAGTTGCCCTAATTGAACATCCTGAGACAATGGATGAAACTGGGCACCGACCAAAACAAGGCGGTTTACTGGATCCTCGTATGGGTACTATAGACAGGAACTTTAAGTGCCAGACATGCAGCGAAGGCATGTCCGAGTGTCCAGGCCACTTTGGACACATAGAACTAGCTAAACCAGTATTTCACATCGGTAAATTATTTATAATTGTATTATTTTGATATTTTTTTCCTTTTTTTCCATCTATATTAATAGAAACAAAAAGAATACCTGTATATTTAAATTTTACATTTGAACAAATGGTATTTTTTGTTCGCCAAAAAAAAAAAAATTGTTTTTTTTGTTTGAATGCTTTGCTAAAAGATTTCGTCATTTGTGTATCGTTACACTACCCGATATTCATTTTTATCATGTCAATTTCACTGATAATTCTAACAATTTATTTACAATTAATCAAATTTTAACAGGATTTCTACCTAAAGTCAAAAAGATCTTGGAGTGTATCTGCATACATTGCTCAAAGTTGAAGACAGACGACGTGAGTTGTCTTCTTTTGTCTTTGTGGGATATTGGTTTAATTTGTAAATCAATTTCACACTCTTATCAGTTTAATATTGATTCTTATACTTTTCAATTGTATATATTTTTTTTCGCGTTTCAATTGTACATATTTAAAATAAAAAAAAAAAAAAAAAAAAAAAAAAAAAAAAAATGTCTTTCAAATGTTTTTCTTTGTGTATAAAATCTTCCTTATCTATCTTTCTATCTTTCTATATATATTTTACTTTATATACTTATATGTAGTCCAATGCAAAATTCGCGGTAGCACGCAAGATTCGTGATCCTAAACGTCGTCTCCGTGCAGTATGGGATATCTGTAAATCAAAGATGATATGTGAAAAAGGAGAAGAACAAGAAAATGACCCAGATAAAGCTTCGGATTACGAAGATGATTATATTCCTAACGGCCAAAATAAACCAATTCCTCAAAGAACTACCACACCTGCAGAAGATTTAGGTTTAATAAAAGTAAAGAAACCTCATGGTGGTTGCGGTGCTCGTCAACCTACTGTTCGCAAAGATGGTTTGAAATTATATACGAATTATAAAGCTCGAGATTCTGAAGTAAGAAATATATTGATTTACTAATCGAAATTCCTTAACGCGAAATATTCTTCATTAAATCATCTTGTAATCTATTATTTGATGTAGGAACAAACGGGCCAAGAGACCAGACAGGTACTTACACCAGCACAAGTATATAGCATATTTAAGAAAATATCATCAGAAGACTTGATAGATTTGGGATTAAATGAAGAATATGCTCGTCCTGATTGGATGATTGTAACATGTCTTCCTGTCCCTCCACCACCTGTTCGCCCAAGTATTCAAATGGATGGAACGAGCAGAGGTGAGGACGATTTAACACATAAATTGGCAGACATTTTGAAAGCAAATCAAAATTTACGTCGTTATGAGTCCGATGGCTCTCCGGCTCACGTCGTTAGTGAATTTGAATCTTTATTACAGGTGTGTATTTATCTATTTAATAGTATATATGGTAAATAATATTCAAATGTTATTAATTTTCTGCCTTTTCTTTATAGTTTCATTGTGCAACTTATATGGATAATGAAATGGCTGGTCAACCACAAGCATTGCAAAAATCTGGTAGACCTTTAAAATCAATTCGAGCACGTCTTAAGGGTAAAGAAGGACGTCTTCGTGGAAACTTAATGGGTAAACGTGTAGACTTTTCTGCTCGTACGGTTATCACAGGAGATCCTAATATATCAGTTGATGAAGTCGGAGTTCCGAAAAGTATAGCTTCAAATTTGACTTTCCCTGAAATAGTAACACCATTCAATGTTGATTTATTACAAGAGCTTGTTAAAAACGGTCCTACAGTTCACCCTGGAGCTAAATATGTCATTAGAGATACCGGAGAACGTATTGACTTGAAACATACTTCAGGAACAAATGTAGTACGATTACAAAACGGTTGGAAAGTTGAACGACATATCAATAACGGCGATGTAATTATATTTAATCGTCAGCCATCTTTACACAAAATGTCAATGATGGGTCATAAAGTTCGAGTAATGCCATTTTCAACTTTCCGTCTTAATCTCTCCGTAACATCACCATATAACGCTGATTTTGATGGGGATGAAATGAATATGCATGTACCACAATCGGTCGAAACTAAGGCTGAAATTAAAGAAATATGTATGGTGCCAAAACAAATCGTATCGCCCCAATCAAATAAGCCAGTAATGGGAATTGTCCAGGACACTTTATGTGCTATTCGTAAATTTACCAAAAGAGACTGCTTTCTATCTAAAGATTTGGTAATGAACATTTTAATGTGGGTTAAAGATTGGGACGGAAAGCTTCCAATTCCATGTGTCTTGAAACCAATACCATTATGGACGGGAAAGCAAATTTTGAGTATGATCATTCCCAAAGGTATAAATTCGGACAATTTGCGTCATTCTACTCATCCTGACGGTGAAAATACAGACATGTCACCTGGCGACACAAAAGTTTTGATTGAAGATGGGGAATTATTATGTGGTATTGTTTGTAAAAAGACGGTTGGTACTGCACAACAAGGTTTAATTCACGTAATTATGCAAGAATTGGGTCCAAATCGGGCAAAAGACTTTTTGAATGGATGTCAAGCTGTTGTTAATTATTGGCTGCTACAAAATGGGTTTAGTATTGGTATTGGTGATACTATCGCCGACAAAGATACCATGGACAGTATTACACAGACTATTAATAGTGCTAAAGAACGTGTAAAGGAAGTCATCTTATCCGCTCAACAGAATAAATTAGAATGTCTACCTGGTATGACAATACGTGAATCCTTTGAAAATCAAGTTAACAAGGAACTTAATACCGCGCGTGATTCTGCTGGTCGAAGTGCTGAGAAAAGTTTAAGTGAAGATAATAATGTTAAGCAGATGGTAGTAGCAGGTTCAAAGGGTTCCTCCATTAATATCTCTCAGATGACAGCTTGTGTCGGACAACAGAACGTTGAGGGCAAACGCATACCTTTTGGTTTCAAATTCCGAACTTTACCACACTTCACAAAGGATGATCATAGTCCCGAAAGTCGAGGATTTGTTGAAAATTCTTATTTACGCGGCTTGACGCCACAAGAATTTTTCTTTCACGCTATGGGTGGTCGTGAAGGTAATGGTTTTTATATTATTGATTTAAAGAAATTTATATGATGATAGCTAATAACAATTGGTTCTATTAGGTTTAATTGACACGGCCGTAAAGACCGCCGAAACAGGGTATATCCAGCGTCGTTTGGTAAAAGCATTAGAAGACGTAATGGTTAAATATGACGGGACAGTTCGTAATTCTCTTGGAGATATTCTTCAATTTTGTTATGGAGAAGATGGAATGGACGCATGTTACGTTGAATCTCAAAACATTGATTCCTTACCTATATCCAACGAAACATTTGATAAAAAGTATATGGTTGAATTACCGAAACCTGAGGAAAAGGAAAAGGAGAAAGAGGAAAAGGAAAAAGAGAACAAGGAGGAGAAAAAGAAACAGGAACTTGAACAAGAAAAAGCCAAAATTAAATCTCATGATGAAATTGTCAAAGATAAAATAAAGGCAGAATACGAACAATTAAAGGATGACCGCCATTTATTACAAACTTTTATATTTCCTAAAGGTGATAATAGATGGCCATTGCCAGTCAATCTCAAGCGTCTCATTAAAAATGCTCAGCAAAAATTCAAAATCATTCCTTCTCAAAGGACAAAAAGTGATTTACAATTTGTTGATGTCATAGATAATATTGACGAACTTTTGTCAAAATTGGAAGTTGTTAAGGGTAAAGATAGAATTAGTGTTGAAGCACAATCAAATGCTACTTTGCTATTCAAGATCTTGATAAGATCATGGTTAGCCAGTAAACGCGTAATTGATGAATTCCATCTCAATCAACAAGCCTTAAAATGGATATTGGGTGAAGTCGAGTCGCGTTTTCGAAGATCTCTAGTTTCTCCAGGTGAAATGGTTGGTACAGTTGCTGCACAATCTATAGGTGAACCGGCTACTCAAATGACTTTAAATACTTTCCATTACGCCGGTGTGTCGAGTAAAAACGTCACTCTTGGTGTACCTCGTCTTAAGGAAATTATCAATGTTGCTAAAAACATCAAAACTCCTTCAGTTCATATATATTTAAGGGGCAAATATGGGGAAGAAATTGACCTAGCTAAAGAAGTTCAGTCCTCTATTGAGTACACTACTTTGAAGACGGTTACTCAACGTACCGAGATTTGGTACGAACCAGATATTACAACTACTGATATTGAATCAGATAGGGAATTTGTAGAATTGTACTATGCAATGGAAGATAAGGATTCCATTTCTGGTTATCAATCTCCTTGGGTATTGCGTTTTGAACTTAACCATGATGTTATGCTTGATAAGAAATTACACATGGACATTGTTGGTAATAAAATTCAGGAGAATTTCTCTAAAGATATTCACGCCATATGGAACGATGATAACGCTGACTTGAAAGTTATACGTTGTCGAATTATCAGTGAGCCCGGTAGTACTAAAGATCACGTAGATGAAGAAAATGGTCTCAAGATCGAAGAAGATGTATTCTTGAAGCGTGTTGAAAATAATATGCTATCAAACATAGGTCTACGAGGCATTAAAGGAATTCATCGTGTCTACTTGACTGACAGTAAGAATTCCCTCATCTATCTTGATAAATTTGGTTTAATACAAAAAGATAAGGAATGGATACTGGAGACTGATGGTACAAACTTGCAAGAAGTTTTGAACGCTGAAAATGTAGATTATACACGTACATACTCTAACAATTGTGTGGAGATTATGACAGTTTTAGGAATTGAGGCAACTCGTGCAGCATTATTGAAAGAACTACGTGGTGTAATAGAATTCGATGGTTCTTATGTCAATTATCGTCACCTAGCTCTTTTGTGTGATGTTATGACTTCGAGAGGTCATTTAATGGCTATTACTAGACATGGTATTAACCGTGCAGAAACTGGCGCTTTAATGAGATGTTCTTTTGAAGAGACAGTAGAAATCTTGATGGAAGCTGCTGCTGTCGGAGAAGTGGATGATTGTAGAGGAGTAGCAGAAAATATTATGCTGGGTCAAGTTGCACCGTTAGGTACAGGTGATTTTGATGTATTCCTTGATCCAATATTGTTACGAACCACAGCACCTGCTGGAGATAGTGCAAGTGTAAAGGCTAAAGATGGTTACAGTGTTGGCGATTATCGTCGTTCTGGAGGTAGCATGACACCAGCTTTAGGTTCCATGACACCTTTTGGAGCTAGTGCTCGTACACCTCATTTCGCGATGACACCCATGTATGGTGCTAAAACACCTTTATCAACTTATGATTCACCTGGACCTAGTTCACCAGCATTTTCGCCAGCATTTTCACCCGCATTCTCACCTGTCCTTGAAGCAGGTGGTAAACCAGTATCAGTTGGTGGCACTTATAGTTGGCAAACAAGTCCATATAATACGGGAAGTCCAAGCTATGGACCAACTTCACCACAATATTCTCCAAGCTCACCTGCTCCGACGGCTTTTGCTCATTCTCCGGGTGGTAGTAGTTCTTTTACACCTCAAAGTCCTGCTTATAGTCCAACTAGTCCTTCCTATTCTCCTTCTAGTCCTACAGGAAACTATGGTGGTGCTACAATGAGTGTTTCGGGTTCGGTTACTTCAACACAATCAACTTATAGACAGCAAGCAACAAGTCCTACTTATTCACCAACGAGCCCATCATATTCTCCTAGTTCTCCAAGCTATTCCCCAACCTCTCCTAGTTACACTCCAACATCACCAAATTACACTCCAACATCGCCAAAATATTCACCTACCTCTCCAAACTATTCACCCACCTCTCCAAGTTATTCTCCAACATCGCCTAATTATACACCGACATCTCCTAGATATTCTCCTAACCAAGCTCAATCCCAGCATTACTCTCCAACGTCACCAATATACTCACCAACTTCTCCAAGTTATTCACCAACTTCGCCTCATTATTCACCTACTTCTCCATCGTATTCGTGAGTAAATAACATACTTTTCGAAAACGAGTTTTTATTGAACAGAATCTTACTAATTAAATTTCTTGCTTCAGTCCAACATCACCTGTTTACACACCCTCATCGCCAAGTGCGTCAGGAAGTTATGCGCCGTCAGGATATTCTCCTTTAGGTGCCGGAACAGCACCAACGTATAGTCCAAATTCTTTAATAAGCCAATCAACAATTAGTAGCAATTCTCCCGCATCTCCTCGATATAGGTATAATTATTAATTCATTTTTATCTATTGTCTTTCTCTATCAACAAAAAGATAACAATATTTACTTTCCGTTATTTAGTCCAACTTCACCTTCCTACTCCCCGTGAGAAATTAAATAAATATTGAAAGGAATTAGAAAGATGTTGTATTTGGTAATAATTCTAATATTAAATTTTAGAAGGTTATTTGCATGAATGGAATGGAATGTATGATTTTTTTGAGATATATTTTTGGTTTAATGAAATTCTTTTATGATTTTGATCATAAGAGATTTTATCATAAAAGTAATTCAATTTAAACCGATGTATATATTATGTGGTTGTTATATTAGATATCATAAAAAAAAAAAAAAAACAATTACTTTATATCTTCACACTTTATAATATTTTCTTTATTAAAGAAAAAAGAAAAAAAAAAGTTAATTAATTTGTTTATATAGCTATAATTACTGGAAAATTCTCTTTTTTTTTTTGATTTTCGCCTTTGGGGTTTTTACATATATGCAAGATTATCTATAGCTTAATTTTTGAAGGCCTTATTGCGAGAAAAAGTAAAAAAAAAAAAAAATTTTTTTGAAAGAAAAAAGGAAATAGTAGAAAAAAAATTCTTTATTTTTATTTTTTATATATATATATTTTTTTTTTTTTTTTTTTTTTTTGAAGATAAAATTTGTTACTGATATCAAATTTTCATTTTTAAATTGATTAAATGATTTTTATTTTATTTTTTGGATAAAGGATTCATGGTATTTAAAATTAAAAGCTTGTAAATTTAATTAAAATATTTTATAATTTATTATTTATTTGGATAACTGCATTGACTAGGTTATTATTAATCTAATAAATAATCAAGCATTCGAAAATAAGAAATACTAATTAATTATTTAGACTCGTTTTACATTTAATAAATTTTATTTTAAGAAAAAAAATATATATATATATATATATTCTATAACGTACAAAAAAAAAAAATAATAATAATTACTGCGCGCAATATATATATTTGTGATTATATATATATGTATGTGTGTGTGTGTTAACTATTTACACTATATGTATCAAAAATTTTCTTTAAAATTAGGAATTTATATTATGCATAAAAAAAAATTATCTCTCACTTTTGCCGATTGTTATTAATTTTTATTATCAGCTCTTTTTGTGCAACTTGTTCGGATGCGGCTTCAATTCTTATCAATTTGTTTTATCTTCTAGAAAGAATTTTCTTATTTCTTTTTGAGGGTTTAATTTGAATAAAAATGTACTTCATAAATCTAGTTTATCTACAATACCTACTTGCTCAATTAGGCGCTGTTCAATAAAGTAATATAAGCACCTAAATGATATTCAACACCGTCTTGGGAGGACTTGTACCCTTCGATAGCTTGTCGCCCGGCCCTTACTGGGGGGGGTTTATTTTGGAGGGATTTGATTAGTATCTGCGCTTGTTCACGGCATCCTTCATTTGAGACTTTTGGATCAATATAATTTTTTTGAACGGGTGCTTCTTCTTTTAGTGGTGGTGGTATATTTGCAATCACTTCTTGGCTGCTCACAGCATGCATGTTTTGCTGCGGTGGTTGCTGTTTTTCAGATTTCACATCATCTGGGATAACTATGACAGAATTGCTACAAGTCGATGCAGGAACGGCAGTGTTAGATACAACAGATGTCGCTGGAGGGTCAATGATCACCACTTCTGGTAATTGTGCTCCCGTTACATTTGATTTGCTTGGTGCAACCTTCTTACTAGGTTGTTCTCGATCTGCTGACGATTGCCGACGTTTCTTGCCAGTTGTTGAGCTTCCAGATACTGCATTATCACGAGAATGTTTTTGCATTGGTAGTTTCAAGTCGGATGGGTTGATTCGAGGTTGAAGAATATCTGTTTGAGGCTGTGGACGTTGTTGTTGTAAAGCTGGATTAACATTCATTAATGTGGTATCTTCGATACCTCTTCTTTTACTGTCCACGAATACAAAATACTTGCGGAACTGTTGTAATAAACTATCCACAAGTTCAAGTCTCAACAAAAATTTATCAGGGAGAGCCTTTATTTGGTCTTCAATCATGTATTTCATTCCTAAAAGGCGATAAGTGCCTTGACTTGATCTAGTGTAATGCCAAAAGTATGGCAAAACATTGTCTACTTCATGATACATAGGATCTAATTCTTTTAGTTTTCCCATAATCTTGTTCTTTTCATCGTCAGTTAAATCATGAATTTCGTGATATTGGATCCTTCGTTCCTTAGCACGAGCGTCGAGAGTTGCAATCTGATTATTTGCTTCCTGAGCTTCTTTCTCATTTAAGATTGCTAATCCCGATTGAATTACAGTTGTAGATGATGACGATCCTACGTGAACTTGGCCTTGAGGACGAGCATTGTTTGTCAAGTTCAAATTAACCATTTGTGTTTGATTTCCCATCATTTGGGTTGGTCTAGCAACTGCAATCATCGGATTAACAAACATTGTGTTTAACTGAGCTTGGGCTTGAGCTTGAGCTTGAGTTGCTAACATTGGACTGACTCCCGGATTCTGAGAGGAAAGTGCCGCTACATTATTCTGTTGCGAAACCATCATCATAGCAGCGGGATTGACAATTATAGAATTTGCTGCATTATTATTTGACATAATTGCCGCACTATTGTTAGCCATCATCATTTTATTCATCATCATATTATTAGACAATAAAGGGTTTGAGTTAGCAGAGATTGAATTGGAACCACTATTTGCATATAATAAATTTGCCATCGGACGTACAGCATTTTGAATATTAATTCCGGAACTAGCTTGTGGTAAGTTGCTAGAATTTGTCTGTGTCATCATTCCAGTATTTTGTGAAATTACTGGAGAATTAACATTCATATTTCCATTTGATGCAGCTTGAGATTGTGTTGATACGCCTTGAGCAGGGGGAACATTTAGATTTTGTTGTAACACTGGGCTTACTGAAATGATTTTGTTACCAACAGCATTAACATTCCCTTGGACCATAATCTTATTATTATTAATTTGCGCTGCCGTCAATTTAGGTGTTTGATTCCTTGAAGGTCCTTTGGATTGAGGCATGATCGGTTTAGTTGCCATGATTACGGGAGACGTGGCGGTGTTTGCAGAACCAACATTCAATTGATTCATTACAGCATTGGACAAATTTGGCGTTGGCATTCTTGAGATTCTTGGAGAAATCTTCATAGGCATCCCATTATTAACAATAGCATTTGCTGCATTAGCATTGTGGCCGGTATTTACAACACTAGCATTAAAAGCTTGATTCATTTTTAATTCTAGTTCGAAAGGAATGGATAAATCTTGGGCCGCAGATTGTTGGGGAGTTTTTGGTGGATTCATGATGGGTGTTTGCTGTTGCTGTTGTTGCTGCTGCTGCTGCTGTTGTTGTTGTTGTTGTTGTTGTTGTTGTTGTTGTTGTTGTTGCTGCTGCTGCTGCTGTTGTTGATGTTGATGTTGTTGGTGGTGGTGGTTAATTTGCGCCTGTACTTGAGCTTGTACTTGGGCAGCTTGTACTTGAGCCTGAGCCTGAGCTTGGGCTTGGGCTTGGGCTTGTTGTGCTTGTTGTACTTGTTGTACTTGTTGTGCTGCTTGTGCTTGCTGTACTTGTTGTTGACGTTTGTTCATTGAAGTTACTAAGTTATTGACCTGCATTAAAAGTTCTTCAGTCAATGGAGTTTCAGGACTGATTTTTAGAAGGTTCATTACATGTTGCTGCATTGGATTGAAACGAAATTGATTTTGCTGTGGCCTAGGTGACGATGATACTTGAGGGCCAGTTGGACGTGAGAAACTTTGTAACATTTGCTGCGGAGTCAGTTGTTGAGTCATTTGTGTTGTTTGTTGTCCCGGCTGTTGCTGTGTTATTTGTCTTTGAGCTTGTTGCATGACTTGCATTTTATATTGATCTTGTATTATCTTTTGATGAAGCGCGGGATTTTGTTGCAGCATTTGGTATAATTGTTGATTCTTCTGCTGTTGAAGCATTGATAGCAATGCATGTTGCTGCTGCTGCTGTTGCTGTTGCTGTTGCATCATCACTTGTCGTCTTATTTGCTGTTGCTGTTGTTGCTGCTGTTGTTGTTGCTGTTGCTGTTGTTGCTGCTGCTGTTGTTGTTGTTGTTGTTGCTGCTGCTGCTGCTGTTGTTGTTGTTGTTGTTGTTGTTGTGGAATTTGAGCAAGTAAAGACTGTTGTTTAGCAGTTTCTTGTTGTGCAACTTGTGTAGCTTGTTGAACAGCAGCGGCCTGTTGATTCTGTTGTTGCTGTTGCTGTTGCTGTTGTTTTCGCTGTTTTATAGTGCTTTGCATATTCGAAAATTTTGTAGTTATCGATCGATGGTAATCATCTTTGGAATGGGCATTATTAAACGCATCTTCCTCCCACTTCTTTGCAAGGAGGAATCTTTGATCTTGATTAGTGCCTGAGCCCACAAATTCAAAAAGCTTAAAGAACCGACTAACAATTTTTTTACGTTCGTCTTCTGACAACGTGATACGCCAGTCAACTGAAGAGGAGGCGGCGGCATTTATGTTCATTGGTGGTTGGTTGTAAAAAGACATAATGAAAATGTTTTTATTTATAGTTTTAAAAGATTAGGTTTTAAGTAAAAGAGACAGAAAATTATAAAACGTAAAAAAAAAAAAAAAAAAAAAAAAAATTTGACCGTAAAGAGAGGGAGTGTTATTATTGACTTTTAAGGAATTTTAGGAAACACCACAAGAAAAAATATCACTTTGAAGTAAATTAGAAAAAATGTGAAATTTTTTTTTTTTTTTTTTTTTTTTTTTTAAGTGAAATATAAGAAATTTTTTTTATTAGTACGAAAAAAAAAAAAGACTTTAAATGAAAGACAAGATTGTCTTTTTTTATTCAAAGTTAGGGAATAAAGAATTTATCAATGGAATAGCAGACAAATAATCCTTATATACGGTATTCTTTTTTTAGTATAAAGTAATATATATAAAAAAATTCAATCAAGAAATCACATGGCTATTGGTATGTCCGCAGTATAAAAAAGAAAGGTAATTGTAATACAGATGCCGCAATATTTTTTTTATCGCTATTAAACCAAAAATATTCCTTCACATAATATCTGTATAAAGATGAAACATGGTTCAAACCGGAAATTCGGAAATTATACTTGCAGTCTGTTTCTAATGGAATTTATGTTAAAAAATAATACAACAACTTTTTGTTAGGAATGAAAGAAGGTGAATATTCGGAAAATTTACAGAATAAATGCGTGGGAGTTAAGACACCTTTGTTTGGTTACATGTTGACAATGGAATGCATATTTTCATTTTTTTTTGGATCAATTCATCATTTAAAAGTGAAAATCCTTTTATTTTTTTTTATCATTTTAATCATATTGAATGCTAAAAGTTATTCGTTTGTTCTTTATATGCAATAACTTCTAAATTTTTTTCCTTTTTAAGTTTGTTATCGATGCAAATTAAGACAACTTATCAACAAATCCCTTTGTAAATAATAGAATACGAAAAAAAAACCGATTTTCTTGCATTTCGATTATTTCATTTTCCCTTAAATTACATAAATAAAAATAATAATAATAATCATTATTTTAATGAAAAAGATATTCTTTATCAAGTCATTTATTTTATTTATATTATATTTTTTTGTATAATAATTGTAAGTCATCGGGGGTTTTTTTTATTTTATTTTTCATTTTGTTTATTTATTTATTTATTTTTTTTTTTATTTTTTTTTTTGTTAGATTTTGTTAGAATTGAAAATTTCATTCAATTTTTTTTCTTATATATGGCACGTGACATATCCCAATGGTGTATGATATATATAAAGATTATCATGAATTTATTGTAAATCAAAAAAAAAAATGTCTCAAAAACAACAACCTCTATCTACAAATAAATACTCACAAGCGCTAAAAGGGAGAGAAAGGATACCTAATGATCCTAATAGTGGAGGTGGTCAAAGTCAAGGTGATAAAAGTGGTGCTTGTCCTGTAACAAAAACCGATTCACCGAAAGTGAATACGCATACTGGTAAAACAATTAGAACACAAGAATTGAAACAAAAGGTTGTTTTCAAAGCTGTTCTTGATTCTCCGTTTAATATAAGCTGGCAAGTATTAATCATGAAATACATGAAATAATATAACAACATACTATTCAATATCATAAATAAACGAACCATTTCATTTTAGGCCCGATGTTTCAATTAAAGATCAAAATGAAATTTTGGATACACTTTGCGAGTGAGTTTATGGGAAATCATTGTTTATATTAAAAATTTATATATTAATAATTTCAATTTTTTTTAGAACTTTATCAGTGATAGGAGATTATAACAGATCTGTAAAGAGTCAAAAAAGGAAATCTAATAAAAATAAAGCGGTCGAGGTTGAACATGATGATGATGAGGCATCAAAAATTAAAAGGCGACCACTTATACCGCCACCACCACCAATTCGTTCTAATATATATTTAGGTCTTAACGAAGTAACAAAATATCTCGAACGAATGACAGATCCACAAATACGTTCAAGATTTAACCATAATAATCATTTATCTAATGATAATTTAGTGTCTACTAACCCTGATGATCAACGTCGATCCACTTTAAATAGTATTTCTCAAACACAAGAACAATGCCATCCTTCATTAGAAATGATTTTTATATGTAGGGCAGATCTTCCACCACAATTTTATTCTCATTTTCCAACAATGTGCTGTATAGCTGGTGGAGTTTTACTTGTTCCATTACCATTAGGAGCTTCGAAAAGAATTTCTGATGCAGTGAACATTAAAAGAGTATCATGCATTGGTGTAAAGGTATTTCAAATAAAACTTGCATGTTAAAATTTGATTCTTCAAGATGGTATTCTTTGTGCTTAAAGTTTTTTATTCTTTGTAATTGATTACAGACAAATTCATTAGAATTCAGGAGAATTTATAGAATGGTCAGGGAGAAAGTTAAATTAATAGATGTACCTTGGTTAAGTCCACTTAAACCATCAGAAAATTTACTAAAGAAACGAAAAATTACTGATGAGGAATTGGAAAAAGAAACATCAACTTCATCATTATCTAGTAATATGATTAAACAAAAAGTGGATGTTGAAATTGCTACTTCATTACATACAACAAAATCACCATCCATTTTCATTTTTAAACAACAACCAAAAGTTAAAATCGAACCTATTTCAACTCAACAAATTGGTTTTAATTATGTTCCTACACAGATTAAGCAACTTATAACAACTGCACCAGCAAATAAAGAACAAGTTAAAAACAAAAAACTAGAAAAGAAGTTAAAACAAAAACAAACAAAAATGTTAAATAATCAACATCAAAAAGAAAAGTTTATAGATAATTATCAGAATATTGATATAACAGCAAATAATCATTCAAGAAAAAAAAGATTTAAAACAACCATTTAACATTTCTTATATTTGATATTTACTTAATATAAATCATAAAATAATCTAAATAAAGAACTCTCTTATTAAAGTCTTTTTGCTAAATTATTTTTTATATATTTTTTTCATATTTCTTTTTTTTTTTAAGATTATTTTTGCATTATTTAAATCACATTAATTAAATTAAATATTTGATTAAATAAAATATATAATTAAATCAAATCAAATCAAATCAAATAAATGATTTGATTAAATATACTACATAAATTTTTTTTAAATAATATAGGATTTTTATTATAAAAAGAGAGGAAACTGCCAAATAAAATAATTTTATTTTTAAATATCAAATATAATTTTAAGATTAAAATATGTTTAATTTTAGTATTATCTTATTTTTTTTTTTTTTTTAGTAATTTCTCTTCTTTCTATTGCAAAGATTTCATAATATTTAAATAAAAAATTATTTAAATTATTTATAAATTTTTTATTTAAAAAAATATTAGTAAAAAAAGTTTTTTTTTAAATAATACCATTAGTATAGAATATTTTTTTTCTTATTAAAATTTATTTTTATCATAAATATATTACATATTATTTTAAATGAAAAAATAATATCATAAATAGGATTAATTAGGTTAGTACATACAAAAATCAGGTTTTGATTATATGATTTATATAGTCCTGCAGCATGATTTTCGTACATACTAACCCAATTGATTTGTGATTAATTATGTGTCACAATAGTATTATGTAGATCATTTTTTACACTATATATAACCTAATCATTTATTTTAATCAATTTAATAAACTCTTTCTTCTTTTTTCTTATATTTTCATTCTTTTAAATTTTATCTTTCTAATAAATGGTTTATTCTCTTTCTTTTATATTATAAAATCTACTGAATTTGAATTTTTAAATTCAAATAGAAATAACTTAATTGATAATAAATCTAATTCTTTGATAACTTTAAATCATTTATAATAACCTTTAGCAAACTCAAATTCGTTGAAACCCTTATAGCTGCAATCAGATATATAACAATTACAATAAATTCAACAAATAATAACTCAATAGCAATAGATACAATTATAATCAAATGTATTTACAATATTATTATAAACTTCTAATACAACCTTTTAATACATCATTACAAGAAAATATGTTGCTAGTATCAAGAATTTGAATAAGTTAATAATGAGAATTTTTGTGAAACTGATAAGAAAAAAGATTCTGATATTTTAGTACATCAGAACCAAATGATAATCTCTATATATTATAAATTAATTCACATATTATACAATTACTCAAGAATAAAGATGGGAACTGTAATTAATATGTTGCAACTTTTAATGTTGCAACTTACGTTGCAATTAGTTTTAACCTATATATGTTGCAACTAATAATGTTGCAACATATGTTGCAACTAATTTTAGCTTATGTTGCAACATTTTATGAATTTGAAATCAATTGCTGTACCATCTTTACTCAAGAATAATATTACACTTTTTTAAATAATTACTTGATCTTTGAAATTTGGAAAGAAGTTGAACCTTTTATAAATATCTATAATAAACAATATAGTTTTGAAAATAAAAAAAAAAATAAAGATGAATAATTAAAAAAAAGGATTAATTATGAATATTTAGAAAAGTATAAATTAAAGAAAACTGCAATTATTAAAAATCAATATAATATAAATTTCAAAAAAACTGAATGTGGATTTCAAGTAAATTTTAATTAACTAAAATTAAAGGATTTATAAGTATTACTAGTTATGTTAAACATAATAGATATGACTTACATCTAAAATTTGTGAATTTTTATGCTAAATATTATCAAATAACTGAAGATTTAATAAAATAAATTAAAATTTCACAAAATGCAAACTTGATATAATTTAATAATGTAATATACTAAATGAAATATTTTTAAATTGAACTATTTTCACTAGGATCTTTTTAATATAATTTAAAAGTTAAACGTAAATATGCAAATACAGAAAATAATATAATAAATTTTTAAAATAGCTTACTGCTAGAAAAAGAAAAACCTAAAATAATATATTTATTAAAAAATAAATAAATCCAATAGATGATTAGAAATAATTTTTGGATAAATGCAGAACAAATTAATACTTAAATATATTTTTTTATATCATATTAAATGATAGTACAATAAAAACAAATTAATATAATATGCCATTAAATTTATTTATATATATTAATAATCACTGTTAATCTAGATTAATTATATAAGCATTATTTAATAATAAAACTATTGATTCTTATTGATGAATTTTAAATTATACCAAAGAAGCAACAGAAATTATACTGCAAATATTTTATATAAATACAAATTCCACTATAATTATAATAATAAAATATGAATATAATAAAATAAGAATTTTCTATTGTATTCATATTTCTCAAAATTTATTATAGAATTTAAAAAAAAAATTAGTAGAAAATATTAGCAATTTATCAAAAACTTCTATAAATGCTAAAATATAATTTTAGTTAAAGAATTTTTAGCAAAATAAAATCAATTTAAAGAAAAATATTCAGCTGCTTCTAATTATTTAATTAGTACATTAGAATTATCTTAAAAAACTGAATTAGATATTACACTGCAATTATTTTTATTAAAGAAATACAATTAATATAATATGTTGAAGATTAAAGAGGATAATTAATGAAAGTACTACATTATAGCAATTAATTTAGTATTTAAATAAATAAAATATCTATTGAAATTCAAAATATTAAATATCAGAAATTTAAAGATTCTAATGCTTTAACAGATTTTTCAAATTTAGTTACTCGACTTTTTCAAACATTGATCAAGTGATTAATACTTATTTAATAACAGAAATATTATTCTTAAACACATATAAATAAATCAAATAATTTTATATTATTGTTATGAATAAATAATAAATAGACTTTATATTGCTAGACATGTAAGTAATAAATTTTTTGTTTTATAAATGACTACTAATTATTTATTTATTTATAATAAGATATTGCTAAATTTGATACAAATTTTATTAAAAATTATAGTGAATCATAGCAAAAGAAATTAAATACTTTAATTACTAGATATAAAAAAGATTTAATAGCTTTTATATGGAAAATTGTGTAGTATTATATAAGCATAATTAATTATATTATTTTGCTAAAGAATAAAATATATATGTATTTATATCTGTCTTTAATAACAATAGAAATATTGTCACTATTTCTTTCAGGTATATTTTTTTACAATAATCTTATATAATATTAAAAAGTAATAAATTATTTTAAATAGATTATGCTTTATCTTCCCAAAGCATTTTTCTATATTAAATTTATTCTAATTCATTGATTTAAGAAAAAATATCTGATATTGAATAAAATATAATTGTAGCAAATGAACTGAATATTATAGCAAATAATATTATATTTCAGATTTATTGATCTAAACAATAATAATCAAAAAAATAAAGTAAAAACAAGACAAATTAAAAATATGTCTGAAAACTTTTTTGGAATCTTTAAAAAAGCTTTAAGAAACAATTGATGCTGAAGATTTTAGTCTTTATAATACTATCAACTAGTAGATTATTAAGGTAATAAGAATAGCATTGAAAAAATTCTTCTAAATAAAAAAATCAAATCATTTATTAAAAGTAATAAATATAAGACTATTTTATTAGATAAACTAATATAATAGATATATTAGTATAATATACTTATGAAGACTAAGAAAGTAAAACATCAAAATAAAAAATAACTTGTAAAAGATGTCAAGAATAAGGTTATTTTATAAAGATTTGTACTATTGAATTGTGATTTATTCTTATTTAATAAAAATGAATACATTTTATTGAAAACTTATTGATTATAGCTCAAATTTGTAATTCAAGCTAACCAACTTGAATTATAATAATAATTTAAGCTCAATAACCTTTTATCACTAAACTTTACTTTAAATATTTACCTATATCATTAATAAATAAAATATATTATAATACTCATAGCTCTTTTATAAGTAAAAATATTTCATTATTTTATTTTATAAAAAGTAAATTTATCAAAAATTCAAACTACAGTCAAATCTTGATATAATAAATTTTTAAATCAAATATATTAAATATACTTTATTATAATGAATCAGCCAATTAAATTTTTTAAAAAATTTATTATAAGCTTATAAAGAAGTTGAGATCCAGAACTTAAAGATTGTTATATCAAGAGTTCATTGTATATCATTATCAAATAGTCTTAAGATAACAGTTACAAGTTACGTAGCTTGTTATATATTTTGATTAGTTAAAATTTAATAATTGATAAATAAAAAATTACTCCTAATTGACAAATAAAATTTTCTATTTTAAATACATTTATTTTTATTTTGCATTAATAAATAATATTAAAAAATCTTAGTAAATTATTTCTAGTACAGTCAGACCTCCATATAATCACCTAATCGGTTTCCAAAAAAATTGGTGATTTTATGGAGGTGTGACTGATAAAAAGGTATCCTCTATATAATCACTATTATAATAAAAATCATGTGAGGTGATTATATAGAGGAACATAAATGCAAACGCATATATAAAAATAAAAGAATATTATTGTTATTTTATAATGACATATAAATGCAAATTATTTATTATTTAGTAAATT